AAAGCACCTTCTTGTAACCTGACCTTGTTGGGGAGCTCATGCAAAGACAGAAAAGGATGCACAAAAATCAACCATAGTGGCATTCATTTTTAATTTGAACTCCTCTTGAAGTTCTCTTCTCTAGGGATCTTACATTTTACGCATTTTGGCATTTTTCTGTCAAATTTACAAGGATTGAAAGCTGGAATTGTTTCGTTCATACAGTGCTGGCACTAGCCACAAATTTCAACCTAGCTATGATTTTTTATATTCTGAATTTTTATTAATTTATGTCTGGTCATATGCACAATTTGATTTGCTCACAGGAAGTGCTGTCATCAAAAGCATGTATTGAGAAAATCTATATCAGTCAAGAAGTAAATTAACAAGTTTGAAAACATTTTCCTTCAATGGTCATGTTTTGGAGATAAATGTTTACAAAAGCAATAAAGAACTTTTTCCACATTCATATATTCTCATCCAAGCACTAGGGGGGCTGGGAGGATTCTTGAAAGTAATACAAATCCCTGACTGTCTCTCTGGTTTGCATTACTTTTGCACTTTCTCTCAACTCCCTTTGAGCTAAGATGAGGGTATGTACAGAAAGGTTTTCTATTGCCTCATTATAGCACTTCAGCTTCCAAGTGAATCACACCAGTGGTACACTTTGAAATTAATTTCAGGTCAAAGTGATCTCATTCTAGTTTTACTAGTACATGAAAAAAGTACATTCTTTTGATTGGCTAAAAACAAGTTCAAGTTTGCACACAAGTGCAAAGTTGTAACTAGTGCAAATTACAAATATTGGGCACATTGTCAAAATTTTGCGTCTGTCTTAACTTTCTGTGATGTTTTTTTCCTGTAAATTATAACAGCGCAAAGTGCTTTTACTGTTTCCACAAAACCAAAATTTTTTGACAAATTTGACACTTTTTTGACACTTGAAGGGCAAAGTAAGACCATTTGAAATCACTGCATGCAAACTAGACACCTTGTTTTAAATAAAGTAGGAAGAATTCTGAGTTGTTCATTGCAGCCAGAAATGAATTATCAGGAAATATGTTAGTGAAAAAGAATCAATTACATGTAATCCATGTGAAGCCATTACATATTTATATTATTATTACATATTTATATTATTATTACATTATTTGTAGTATCACGGCAGAAAACTTAGCAGAGTACATATCACAAGAAGTGTGGCTATCTAGTGTAAAACTAAACAATAAGTAGAAATAAAAAGACAGGGAAGGAGGGATAGCAATCGTTGTAAAACAAGAATTTACTTTACTTATTGGCTTTTTGATTCAATATGCAAATCATGAACTTGTTTGTTGCAAGACCATGTGGTTTCTGTTTTAACTCAAGCTGTGAGAAAATATGGAAGAGGTTGCATGAATTAAGATATTTGGAGAAAATATTAATCCATGTTGTTGGGATTAAACTGAGAAATAAAATCTGTTTTCAAGAAGACATTCAAGAATGTTTGTGAAATTACATAACAAAATGTTGAATGCCAGTGTTGAACAGCATGTGAAATGTACAAATTCATTAGAAGACCCTGCATAATACAGCATGACCAAATTTGAATACAACATACACACAGTGGTTGACAGTCATGCGTCTGCAGTTGAGTATGCTCTTTTGTTACAAACACAATGAAGAGCAGTGATCTACACTGCTATTCAAATAAGTATCAACGTTTCTTTTTGGTACTGTTCGATCAGAATTGGCAATTGCCAGTCCTTGCTGGCATCAAATCCAGGAACCTTTCCATTTCATGGAAATGCAGTCACTTTACCTGATTAAATTGCAGACTTTTAGTCTGGGAGACATCATTGCAAATAATTAATACCAAGTGCACACCTTTGAGAGGGATCTGCAAAACACTTTCAGCTTTGATTCTGCATCACACTGTTCTTTTTATGATTGGGTTCATATTTGCTGCTCCTGTGTCTTTTGTTTCAGCTCCAGGTGCCTGTTTCTTAAACCACAAGCATCATGGGAAGGAAGAAGAGGAAGAACATTTTGGTCTTGTATGTCCAGACTTGTGACAATTTTAACAGAGCCTGGACTGTTTAGAGGAGATAGGCTTGAGGGCATCATTTGTGTGAGTAGCTTTGCATAGTTTCTCTTCTGCACTAGATAACAATGCTTTTTTCAACTAAACAGTTTTGGCTAAATTGGCCTTCGTAAGGTCTAACAGTGATTGCTCAGGGTTTAGAGCAGATGTCATGGCTTTATCAAAGCGTCTTTCTTAAGAGCAAGGATCAAGCTTATCTTCACTTTTGCTTGTAAGAGAAGACGGTATTTGAAGCGTTAATAATCTATTTATTTATTATAATTTGTTAACTGTCTAGTGTGCTTTTTAACATGCCAGGTGATCAAAAGCGCATTGCAACAATAAGTTACCTAAACTATACTATTGTTAGACATACACAATAAATTCCAGAGATAATAAATCACATCATTTATATAATTATATATATATATATATATATATATATTTACATATCTAAGAACTATTAAAAGCTAATTGAAAAAGATAAGTTTTAAGACATGACTTAAAAGTTGATATGCATTTGATGCTGTGAAGATTAGCAAAAAGAGCATTCCATAAAGTGGGTGCAGCCACACTAAAAGATCTGTCACCAAATGACTTTTTCATTTTTCTTGAGGGATGCTTTAAACAAACACCTTCATTTGTGTGCAGCAAATAGCACATATTTGTCTTAATGTTAATTAAATCAATAATGTAACTAGGTGCCATACCATGGAGGGCTTTAAAAGTAAGTAATAAAATTTTAAACTTAATTCTTTTTCAGTCGGACTCAAAGTCCAATTTCGAAGGTTTTTTTGCAAGGCTGTTTGTTATCATTTTCAACCTTTTGTAATAAGTTAGTTACTGGTACATATTTAAGTAATTTTGAAGTTTTTGTAATGTAAGTATTATTATCTCAATAAATATTGTAGGAAGAATTAATGTGTTTTTTGCTATGAAAACTTTTTTTAATGAAAATTTGGTCAAAAATCGGGGTGCTTATTATACATGGGCGCATATATGGGTAAATATGTTATATAACCAGAAAAATGCCACACTACGAGACTTAGAAATATGGGTCGACATAGAAAAATGTGAGTCGAACAAGGCACCGAGATTATGCACTGCTTAAACTGGCTTAATATCCATCATGCCAACATGGACTGAACAGTGATCAATTTTCAGCAACTGTTGTCTCAATCTGATTACAAGAAATTGAGTCTTGTCATCATTGATCTTTAATTTGTCCCTGTACATCCATTTGTGTAAGTTACTAGTAAATGGCTCCATGGCTTCCAATGCCTTCATTTGATCCATAGGACTGTTAGGATTGAAAGACAAGTAAAGTCCCGACCTGCCTGAACACTGATCCAAATCAACAATGGCTGTAAATTCATGTACCGTAATTTCTGGTCGTTTACCCGCACGGCCGATTACCCGCACTGGCCGATTATTGCATACGGCGAAAAAAAAAGTCAACAGATTACCCGCACTGGTGGATAACCCGCACGTTATGTTATTCAACTTTTTGGTGGCGAAAACGTGATATTAAAGTGATACATTTCAGTCTTTTAAAAGTTGTCTGATCCAACTTTCGAAAACTTGAAAGCGTCTTTGTCGAGTTTAAAGATCAAAGAAATTCAGACGCGTGCACAATTCTGTGTCAATATTAGCATGTACGTTATTGATAAGATTATACAGTAAAAACACTAGCGGCCCATGCCCAAATCTCAACGTTTCATACTTGACAGAATGCAAATTCGTGGCCACATTTTGTGCGAGCGATCGTTCAGCGCCATGTTGATTTGTTGAAAAAAAGCTGGGTGAGTATTAAAACTTGAATTATAAAGTACTGTCGGCGATATTTGAAAAAAATCGATATCTCCGGTTCTATTGGGCCTAACAAGTCCCTTAAAACAGGAAAATTCTCTTTAGCTCAAGCTAGTGTTAAATGGAAATTTGTTACTGATGCGCCGGATATCTTTGGATATTTTTTGTCACCATCAAGGTTTTGTTTTCACGCGTGCCGATAGCAATTTGTCCGTCGCAATTTATTCGTGCGTGAAATAAACTCGAGTCGGCATCATGTTTTCGTGCCGCTTTGCGGCACTATCAATACAATAAAATTCACTTGAGAGGTGGAAACGCATGTTGGTGATAATTTTTTTCAATTCAACTACCACTAGATTTTAAAATTGTCACATAACCCGCACCTCCCTATTACCCGCAGTGGCGCGCGTTTAATGCAAAATCAACAGATTACCCGCGGGTAAACGACCGGAAATTACGGTAATAAACTCCGCTTGTTCAATAATACCCTCCATGGACAATCCTGTGTCTTTGTGTAGTAGATATATATGATAAGTTCAAACTTTAAAGTAATAAGAGACTGTAGAAAGTTATAGAACAGATAGCACTGATGGATATGTTCACCATCTATGAAATGCAAATTATGCATGAATTTATAGCCCTTCTTCTTACAGCTTTCCTCTTTTTGCAAGTTCCAATGTTTGAACAACAGGTGAATTTAGCTCACTGACTCTCAGAAGTGTTTCAAATATAGTCCTTCATCTTAGGAACAAACAAACATCTCTTGAAAGTTATCTGTATTGTCCTCATTTAAATTCACATAATTGTCATCATCTCTTACTGGAAAGATGGATAAGTCCTGCAATTTTTTTCTCTTACTGTTATTTTAACCTTTAATGAGTGATCACCTCTTTTAAGCTAACCTACAGTGTAAGCGTCTTAGTAGTGTGTACTTTTAAGCTGTTGTGGTCACCCTTTACAGAATTGGAATGGACTGTTTCCCAGGCCTGATAGACTTCTCCTACTTCAAATGAAGGAGAGGCTGCAAAAAAGTTGTGTCTACTGCAAGTCCCACAGCAGTGTCTGCATGGGATGCTCCACAGTGGACAAGACATGCTCCCTTTTCAACTTATAAAGCTGAAAGAAGCTGAAGCAAGAAAATTTTCTCACAATCATGTTCAGACAGAGACTACCTCAAGGTGTTCACCTGGTCAGTGATTTGATGTATATGAACATGCAACTAGCAATATTGGTGATTGTTGTCAATGTCACTTTTAAGGCTTTCAAGCTCTTTAACTTCCAGTGGAGTATTCTCTCAAGGCATGGTAGCAAATCCTGCAATCTGAGTGGCTTTAAGTGTGGTACAGATTTTCTTTGCCCATGGCACGGTAAGCTTTCATGAGGCAATGAGAACATCCCAAGCTCCATTGTCATTTTTCATAAATATGTTTTGTTTTGCCCACTGGGCAATATTTCCAAGCAAAGTATTTTAAAGGAAATCAAGCCAATTCATAACTTATTAATTTTTTCTTTTCTCTCTCTGGAATCACTTTGGTTGCTAACAAAAATATTGTTTGAATCGAATTTGTAGTAGCAAATGTGTCATATTAAATGGGTTAACACACAGCCTATAAACAGCATTAAGTAACTTTAATCTTTCACAAAAAGTCACCGAGGAAGTTAAAACTGTGAGATATTTGTTTACAATTGAATTAAGCAATGGAACATTCGTTCATTTAATATCTGAATTTTCTCGCACTATTTTTTCATTGTGAAATGGTGAGCAAGGTAAAGCACTTCAACTACAAAAATAAGGATTGTTTTCTAGAACTCAACCATTTATTTTTGCATTTCTCAACCTCAAGGTTGTTGAAGCAATGGCATGCAATGCATACAAACAAGATAATAAATCATAAAAACTAAACAAAATGTCAATGTTCAGTTGCAACAGAAATTTTCACTCCTAAGTTACAAATATGCTTTTGGTAAGTCTTCATGAGTCTTCCATCAGCACCAAACAGATTCACTATGAATGATGTTAAATAGTGAAGCTGAAAACAAACATTACTTGCCACATTTCAGGAAATATTGCTTTCACAAGAGTGGTTTTGCTTTGTTTGTACTTTTTATTCATGCTTAGCATTATGTGATGATGATCTTCATGACAATTTTAACAGATGCTCATTCTTATTTACTTTTGCTAGAGTTGGGTACCGTGTTTTATTGACAGTGAGCGGCATTATGTTCAATTTTGTTGGTAATGAATAGCTCAACATTTCAGATAAGAGAAAAATGGTTTCACTTAGTCATTCTTTTACATTCACACTTAAGATTCAAGTAAAAAGAACAAATCAAATCATAAACAATAGCAGCAGTCTTGCTTACACATGAACAAATAAATAAGTAAATAAATTAATAATTAAAGACGTGAACTGCAAAGGGTAGAATGGAATCTCATTTTCTTCACTTATTCTATGAACCTAAAGTCATCCTGGTAAAACATAATAATGTCTCCTGTTCCAGCAAACTGCAAATAATTTCATGTAATATGGATAACTGAATGCAAACAATTCAAGTTTTGCTGTTAGATGCTAGCCGTAAACTTTTATGAAAACAACTTTAAATTATTGAAATTGGTATTTCCTGATATTGTTTGCTTTCTAAAGTGGTACCAAGCAGGTCAAAAACTTTTTTCCTTTTTCTTCATAATACAGAAAGCCACCGACACCGAACACTTTGGTACTGAACCATGTAATGTCACCCTTCTTTTTTATAAATCTAACACACCATTCAGAGTTACAAAGGCTAAAAACAATAGACTGCTTCATACCTATTAATGAGCTTCTTCCATGCTCATTTTTTTTATGTGTTTGACAAAATTGCATGTGTGTGCAAGTTTTTTTAACACCCTTTTCATGTGAATGGAGTTATTACAGTGTAGGCACACAATATGTGCACAGTATTACATTGCAGCTAGTAAGCTCAATTGCATAATATTTACATTAAATTTTTATAAAAAATTTAACATTATGCATAGTCCTTAGACTTTTCATAATAAAATTTGAATTATAAAATCTGTGCTAATAAGTATCTAATATACTTAAGACTTATTTTATGTAAAATTGATATTTATGCTCATTTCAAATGTAAAAACAGTGTGTTCTTGTTTATGACAATTCAAGATTAGGAATTTGCTTTGATCAACACATTTATGTAGATGGTATGAAAAAACATCTTTATTTTTCAATTCTGGTGAGCTGTCTTTGGAAAGTTTGATTTTTCCTTGTCCTGCACTTTGGTTAGTGCTTTAGTGAAACTATTAAACTTGGTATTTAAAGCAGATGCATGAAGTCTCTTCCAAAGGGGAATTTAGCGAATAAAAGGGAGGACCAGGCAAAGATATTCATAAATTTGTAAGCCTGACTTGGATTTGTTGTACTTGGCAGTTTCCACAGGTGATATCTTCTGTGCATTAATTTCTCATCGCCATGCTTGGTCTGAATTAGTTATGCTTTGCTTGTTGGTTAACTTGAAAGTTCTTTGCCTTTGTCTCTTTCCAGTATCCATGAGTAAAATTACAGTGGTTTATTCCCTCTCCTTATCCTTAATGAGGATAAAAGCTAATTAACATAATTATCAAGAAAGCATAGAATAATTTACCAATAAAAATGTATTATATTACAACATGCTTTAAAATCTACAAGTGTACAAACTAGTGAAAAATTACATGTTTGAGAAAAAATACATGTATGGTGGTCTGTGATTTTTTTGCAGCTATAATAATAAAGCTCTATAATAAAAGTGTAATACTGCAAAAGCTATTGACAGCACAGTGAATTACTTTCACATCATGATGTCTATACTTTGGGCACTGAACCCAAACCAGAATATTGATGCACTCATTTCAGTTCTGTGTAACACCATGTGCACACCATTCCTAGAGCTTTGTTCACTTGATGTATGAAGGTGGAGTGCAAGAATTCCAGAAAAACCTTTGGCAGACAGTCATTCCCTTTCCAGGTCAACATTCCTGTAACAAGATCTTGTTGCCATCCTACACCAGGAGTTCTTGTTAGGAAAACAAAAAGTGGGTTGCTTTGCTGAATCTTCAGCTTGGATGGAGTGGAGTAAGATGGTGATAATATTCTTTTTCATGATGTAAACAGCTACATTTATTTCTATCTGATGGACTTGGGGTTGACAGAATGTTCTGTGTAATGTCTAGACCAAACTGCAACAGCATTATGGTCAGATAGTCCAAAGGGTGGTGAAAGTATGGCTGGTTTTGAATCACAGAAATTATGCATGTTGGTGAGCACTAGATCCAGAATGTAAGCACTGCGTATAGATTGGTGGACCTGTTGTTTTAGGTGGAAATCTCGACAAAGATGTTTTGTGTCCAATTGATTTAGGTTGCCAGGGATAATAATACTGCAACCAGGAAGTAGACCTTCAGCGTGCGTGATAGCATCAGACAAGTACTCTAAGATTTCAGTGTCGTTACAACTAGGTGGGTGGTAAAAACATGCAGTGATGATGCAGTTAATCCCTCTTGGTAATCTTGGGGGTTTAATGTAGGACCATAGGACTTCGAAGGCAGGATCTTCAAGCTCTTGTAGTCTCTTGGTCTAGATAGATTCTTTTATATACATGCAAACTCCTCCATGTGTACCTGGGGAGCAATCACGCTGAAGAAGCTTGTTGTTGTTTAGTGTCAAGTGATTGTCTCCAATGGATTATTGTAACCAGGTCTCCGTAAAGAAGATCAAATCAAAGTTCTTTTGGGTTGTTAGGATGCTAATTTTGTTGACCTTTGGGACCAAAGATATGACATTTGCCAATAGAACACATGGAGCAAACTCGGTCTTTTGAGAAGATGACATTGTTAAGGTTTTACTTGAATATTTAATTTGTTTATATGCAAATTACGTATTTTGCCACTTTCATTTATTAGATGATTTTGGAAATTTTTTTTACATATTCCATCCAGCTTGGAATTGCTATTGAGTAAGGCAGGTGCATGCTGTTTTCTTTTACTGCTATGGCAGCCATGGTGAGTGGGTGATGTTCTTGCTATTTGTAGCTGTACAAGCATCATTATATTCGTTTCTTCAACTGCAGTACACACATATGATTTTCATATATTTACACTAGTTATTCACCACTTGGAAGGTTTATTTGGATCCAACATAGTGACCAGCTCCAAGATCTATTAGTCTACATCTTTTTCCTTTAAAATCTCTTTCTTAAACAAGTTTCTTGATGAAGAGTCAGATTTAACTAGTTTTGATCTAGATACACTGATTGGTTGATTAATGTCAGATTCATACTTACCTACATACACACATACATCCTTTATTTGGTAAAGCAAGTTGATTAGATGGCAGCTATTGCTGATGTGGACCTGCTATCTACTTTACACTATAATACATTTTTATTAATAGTTATTAGTACTAATAATACATAAATAAATAGATAAACTTGAAATGACTATAAATAAATATTCATATTAAATTATGTAATTTAGACAATGCAAATGAAAGGTGAAAGGAGGACTAATCAAAATGACAAATAAACTAAACATTAATAATATATAAACTCATCACTTTTTTTATTGGTTGCAGTGAGGTTGTGCCAAAAGTAATTTGGTCAATGCACTATGAGAATTTCTTAATGTTAGCCTTGAATGAAGAGTAACTAGGCTTGGACTTTAACTGGCAAGGTAAACAATTCCAAACAATACTAGAATGATGAGTGAAGGAATCATGTAAGGCTTTGGATTTTGAGAGACAAGTTCCAATCATACATTATCTCTTAAATTATATGGAGTTCTGTGCTTTGTAAATAAATTATTAATGTCATCAGGAGCTAAGTTGTTGAAAGCCTGGCATGCAATACAAGTAAGTCTTCTCTTGTACATAAAATGAAGAGATGTCCATTTTGCCATGCTGAGTCCTTCATATTTTGGGGTAGATATGTTTATGTTGTTAATCAGTCTGGCAGCATGGATGTGCAAGTCCTTGAGGTCAGCCAACAAGTTGGAAGATCCCCACTGGGATATACAATAAGTCACACTTGGCAAAATACCTTTGAAGTAAATAGATTCTGGAGTAGAGTGTTTGAAGGTCTTCATCTGTTTAAGCTTTGAAATCTTTGCATTGAAGTTTGAAGTAACCATTTTGATGTGAGGAGCCCAGTTGAGCTTGTTATGAAGTTTGACTCCTAAGCAAGATGAACGGGAGACATGAATGATGGGCTTATGATCTATAGAGATGAGTCTGTTTGGACCAATAAATGGTGTTTTTGAGATGAACATTACTTCAGGCTTGACTGGATGGATGAACATAGAGTTGAGTTTAGACCAGGTAAGTAGTTGATGCAAGAGTTCTTGAATTTGGATTGAAATGGAGGCAGTGGAATTTCCAATAATATAGGCAGTGGAGTCATTGGCAAACATTTTTAACTTTGAGTCAAGGGTCAAGGGCAGGTCATATGTAAAGATACTTAAAGGTCTTGGGCCCAACAAGGAATCTTGGGGCATGCCAGAGGTTAGTCTTATTTTCTCAGAATTAGTACCATTGACAGATACAAACTGTTGTCAATTATTTAGGTAATTAACAGTCCAATCAAATGAGTCGCCACATAAATCGGAAGCTTGGAGTTTTTGAGGTAAAATTTGATGAGACACACGTTCAAAGGCTTTTTGGAAGTCTGTAAAAGTAATGCCAATTGATTTCCTTTCATCTAAAGCAAGTCTCCATTATTCTGTCATTCTGCGAAGCAGCAGCTCAGAGGATCTTCCCTTTCTGAAACCCCATTGGGAGTCAGTAATTAGGTTATGATGGTTCAGAAAAGAGTCTAGATGAAAGCATGCAATACTTTCCTGTAACTTACCTGGTATACTCAGAAGTGAAATAGGACAGTAATTTCCACAGTCTCAAGTACTTCCCTTTTATGAATATAGTGAACCTGTGCTGTCTTCCATTGTGATGGAAACATGCAATCATCAAAGCTCTTTTTGGCAAAATTAAGAAAGTTATGAATGAAGAGCACCCAACGTTTGCAGTTCTTTGCCAGTGGTTTTATCAGGGCCACAGGCTTTTCCCACTTTGATGTAATTCTTGAAACAGTAGGATAGGAGCTCTTTATTGACAGGAAATGACTCTAGAGTAGGGGTAATTCTGTGAATGTGGTTTACTGGTTGAGTGGAAAGATCCAGTGCTGACGAGTTGTCACTATTGACCAGAGTTGAACATATATTGACAAAATGGGAGTTGAATTCATTTGCCTTTGAAAGATTATTGGTTAGAAGTGAATTAGATGGGGATTTCACAGGGCCGATGGTAGAGCGCTTGTTGTTACCTTGGAAGGATTTGACCAGTCACCAAAATTCTTTACTGAATTTAGCATTAGTGGGTTTGTTACTCCGGTAAGAAATTTCAGCTGATCTTAACAATTTAGTACAATAGTTTCTTTGTTTCCTGTAAGCCAACCAAGATGACCTTCTTGATGTACCAGGTGTTGCATAATAATAATACTAATGATGATGATAATAATAATTGCAATAATAATAATTATAATAATAATAATAATGATGATGATGATGATCACTATTTCTATCAACCAAAATTGCTAAACAAAATATTAAAAACATGAAAATTACATTGTAAGTTTGATATTTGTTAACATAGGAACAAATCTGAGATGATCAGAAGCTAAAAGGAACAGCCAAATAAAAGGGTCTTAACTCTACTCATAAGATTACTCACTTCTCATTTGGTCTAGTAAATTGTTCCAGAGTGAGGAGGCAGTGACTGAAAAAGTGCACTTTCCATAGGACTCCAGATTATTCCTAGGGACTACTAACAATTCCTTGCTGGTGGAATGTAGTGTCCAAGGGGTTTAATTAAGGAGTCTGGATCATCAACTTAACTCCCAGCAGATGTTTCTCCAGTTTGCTTCTGGGCCTTTATACATTTTCCAAGCCTAGGTAGTATCATCAATGTCATCAAAGATACTGCAAATCTGCCATGGTACAGATGCAAACTCAGATTGCAGTGCATTTCTGTCCACTCTTTATAGTCTAAGATTAGCCTTGTTTTAGGTTCCTGAGAGAACCTCTGTA